CGGAACGAATTTACGGAAAGTTAACAAACGACCAGAGACGTAACAAATTGGTGTCAGAAGTGGGATGGAAATGAAAAAAATGGAAACGAGAAGTGGTAAATCAAACTATAGCTTAGCAGATTTGATGGCAGCAATACAAGGACAGCAAAAGAAACAAGAAGAACGAGAAAATAAACAAGTAAAGAAACAAGAAGAACGAGAAAATAAACAAGAAAAGAAACAAGAACGATAAAAGAAACAAGAAGAACGAGAAAAGAAATAAGAGGAGAGATTACAGCAGTTGTTGGAGGAAAAAGAAAAGAAACAAGAAACAAGAAGAGAGATTACAGCAGTGGCAAGAAAACCTGCAACAGTGGCAGCTCGAACAGCAAAATAAACAAAAGAGATTACAGCAGTTGTTGGAGGAAAATGAAAAGAAACAAGAAGAACGAGAAAAGAAACAAGAAGACAGACTACAGCAGTGGTTGGATGAGAAAGAAAACGAGAAAGAAAAGAGACTACAAACAAACAGCAACCTAACTGACTACTCTCGTGTTCCGAATAACCGTGTAGGCCAAATAACAATGTGAACTAGAATAACTGTATAGAATTATTAAACATGTAGGCCGGACTAAGTGTATAGACTAGAAAATTAAGAAAAATTAATAAACATGTAGACCGGAATAAGCGTGTAGACTAGAAAATTAAGAAAAATTAATAAACATGTAGACCATAATAATCGTGTAGACGGGTAAAGTTTACCTTATGGTGTTCCATTATGTTGTAGCTTCCCAGCTGTGTCTTCGGATTACTCCAAGTTCCAACGGGTCGTTTAAAAATGCATTGTAAGCAAAAACAGGCTACCATATTTGTTTTCGTTTTGATGAATGAGTGAGAACGAATGACTGTCGAATAGATAAATACGAGTCAACACCATTTAAAAGCCGCCATTTTTATATCAAACTAGTTCCCGGGGCTTCTAACATAGATCTAGTCTCTAGCATAAAACGAATGACGATCTAATATGAGAATCCGCGATAGGTTGGGAAATAGGCAGGGTTAAAAAGTCTGAAAAAATATACATTCCAAATAAGTTTGCGAAAGTTTCTTGCCTTATATTGAACACAGTGAAAACAAAATAGTCACATAAGCTCATGGGCCAGTCAAATAAACAAAAGGCGTTTCTGTCCTTATCAATGTCATCGTCAATACTTATCAGAATTTCCGTCCACATGAATGGGAGACTCTGCTCCCACTTGCAGCACCCGAGATTCATCACTTTCTTCATTATTTATTAACTGCTTACTGATAGACTGATCAACTTGCAATTTCCGTTTTAAACTTTCTCTGGCTTTGCTTTGCAGGGCTTTAATTTTATAAATAAATGGAGCAAATGGTATTGATGTGGGCTGCGTGTGGAGTAGATCCTGCAATTTATCGAGAAAAATTACATCTTTCTATACGTCAGCATTGTTTCCGTACAAAGAAAGGCTTGATGATTTTGCTTTCCTTTCCTCCTCTACGATCCGATTGACCATGTCCGAGAGAACTTCTTGAACGCATGGATCGATATCGTTTAACTCACCTTCCTCGTCTTCTTCCTCATTCTCGTTTTATAACGGATTCATTTCTGGGCTTTCACAATCAAAAGGCTCCATGCCTTCATCTGGTGGTGCGTCATAAGATGCTTTTCCGTGAGTGCCTTTTGGAGGTGTTATCGTTTTCAGTAGTGCTGATAATGAATATGGGGTTTGACTTAAGCAAGTCACTTCTAAATGATAACATTTCATCACCTACAAGCGTGAACAATTTATCTGGTACTTTTTAGTCTTCTGATACATCAAAAGCGTCTGTTAAAAAATTATGTGCCAAGGCATTAGCAACGTCGATGTCGAGACTTTTCCACCAGTTAACAAGCATGTGCATAATCTCGTCACGTGAGGGAGATGGAATTTTATTTGGGTTTTGCTTAAGCTGCTGGAGCGTCAAGTTGCATTCCATTTTGCTTCAGCAGGTGGTAAACATGAGTGTCATTGCATTGGACATCACCAGTTATACCACTACCAATCACAACTAGTATATAGCCTCTTGCCTGGAAAGCTTTTCCCACTTCATCAGTTATATGAACTGAGTAATCGTCTAAAATATATATATGGCATAGTTCTTCATGTTAAATAACTTATGTCTATTTGGAAGTTTTGAGATGGTGTCTAGCATCGTTTGAAGTCGGTAAGAACCTTTTTGGGCTCAATGTGTATTGACTCCTGGTGGGGAATTAAGCTTTAAACGTGTTCCTTTATTTTTGAAAACAAACTCCGGAAGAGGCATTGGATTTTCTCGTCTGTGGATACTTGCGTAAAAACGGTAATTCTCTCGCGAGATAACACATAACTTTCTTTAACGGAAGTAGATTCGTTACTAATAAAAAGGGTTTTTGCGATGCATTTTCATTCCGATGCAATGGCATTTAATCTCTGTTTATTATATGAGACTCTCTTCCAAATTTTGAGCGAAACCAGTATCGTACTCACGAAACATTCTGAAGGAACTCAATGATACGAACCTTTCTTTCTGTGTTGGGGAGAGCAAACCTTTTGTTTGGTTTGCGTAAGCTTATGCGATACTCTTTCATCCAATCACGGATCAACTTATTTGAAAATTGAAGCCTCTCATTCACCGGCACTTCCTTTTCCTGACAATTAACCATTTTCTATACCATTCATTGCATTTTGTCTTGAACACAATCTTGGGTAATCTGGCCTTCAAAGACCCACGCACGTCAATAAACCACTCGAATAAAGCTTGTCGAACCTATATAATTAGAGAAATAAATAAATAAATAGATAAATAAACAAAAAGTAAATGCATTTTCATCATTAAAACAAAAACAAATTTGTTCTGCAAAGGTTTCAGTGTAATGTGATTCGTCATTAAAAAATTAAACAAAGATTTTCTGGGTTATCAGCACAGTAAAGGGCATATATACATAATGATAACAGACTTATCGCAGCGGCAGCACTTTTTCTTCTTCCTACTGACTTTCGATACATTTTTCTTTTTTTTACTCGCAGGTTCAGAAGAAGAATCGTCGGTGTTTTCCCCATATGTGGCGTGGCATCTCCCAACTAACTCGTCAGCTTTCCTAAATTTAGGGCTGTTTGATGAAGCATTTTTTTAACGAAGGAAAGAACTCTATCACAGCTTTCAAGATGAAATCAGCGAAGTTTTCCTTTCTAGATGTCACATATCTTTTCCTTCGTTTGTCCCAAACGTCAGTCGTTACAGTGTTTTCAAAATCTTTTTTTTACATTTTTCACAAAGTTTTCCAAGTTTTTCTTTCTTTTCAACGGAGTACTTTTTTTCGCTTTTCATTTTCACTACAACATGTGGCCCGGCATGGCCAGGTGGTTAGGGCGCTCGACTCGCAATCTACGAGTCGCGGGATCGAATCCCCGTTAGACCAAACATGCTCCCTTTTTCAGCCGTGGGGGCGTTATAATGTGACGGTCAGTCCCACTATTTGTTGGTAAAGAGTAGCCCAAGAGTTGGCGGTGGGTGGTGATGACTAGCTGCCTTCCCTCTAGTCTTACACTGCTAAATTAGG